CGAAACTGTTCAAATTATTACAAGCCCGTAGAAACGATTCGACTGCAAGTCCTTCATACAATAAAACCAGTTCCAATAAATATGAAGCATATACAAATATTGTACAGGAATTCGCATTGGGTATGCAGCTATTACGATACGGAGAATATTTTTATTTACGATTCGTTGAATCAAAAGACATTGTATGAAGAACATAAAAAATTTTTAGAAAAATTATTCCCAACTTATTTTGAAAAGAATCGTCCTATTTTATTTCCTACAGTTCAACAACAACCAAACGGGAATGATTGCGGAGTTTTTGCGATAGCGTTTGTAATATCTCGGTTTTTTAATATTGACCTTCAAACAGTTACTTACGATCATAGTTTAATGCGTTCACATTTATTAAAACTTTTTGACACAAACGTACTTGAACATTTTCCTCAAGATCCATGTGGTGTTCAACAAGAAGTACCGTCATTGTCAGAAATACAAGAACTACATGAAAGAGAATATCAAGCGATACTTATGCGGGTGTATCGTACAGATCAAAAAGAATTTAGCAATCAATCTACAAAAAACTTGAATAATGATGAGTCAAAATCGCAAGATAGTTTATATTCAAAAGAATGTATAGTAGATTTAACTTTAAGCAATCATTATGAACAGGCTCATGAATATAAAAAACTTCAGGATAATGATAACCATACAATTTATAAAAAGAATAATATATATTGTGTACAACGGTAATAATGGTATTAGAAACAGCAATTACGATAATAATAATGACAATACTGCTGTATGCGAAATAAGTAACTATTACGAAACTAAGTATACAAGTAATGCTATTTGTAGTAATAACAAAGTGGATAATATGCATACACTTTACAATAAAAAATTAGATTTTGGATTTAGGAAAAATTCTCTAGATAAAAATAGTAGACTAAAAAAAATGTTGATAAAGATCCACTGCATAAAGAAAAGAGACGTGTAATTAAACAATTATCAATATGCAACATTTAAAAAATAATTGCGCTAAAGAACGATGTAGATATAGAAATAATTTAGAAAATAATCGCAGTAAACAGCGATGTCATTATGAAAGTAATTTGAAAAATAAGCGTGCTCAAAAGCGACATCGCTATCGACAAAATTTGGAAATTAATCGTATTAAAGATAAAATGCGATATAAAAAAAATCGTGTACAACGATGTATACAAAAGCGTAAACGTTATTCCATAAATGCACAACGCGAACAAGAGAGACAAAAAGCTTTAGATCCTGATTGGAAGTGGCTTTATAATAAACAATATTATTATGAGAAAAAAAGTACAAAATCTAAAGTTGCAATAAACAAATGCAATATTGTCCGAAAAGTTGTAAGACGATATAATCAATTTCGATCGAGTAATACTATAAAACTTTCTCATAGTCTGGAAACATTTATTAAATGAAATTCAAACGTATGAATAATCAAGGCTCGTGAAAAATTGAAACTAAGAATGAAGAGGCCACTAAGAGCCATCTAAATAGGCCAATACGAGCCATTCCCAGGATGTTGTGCAGGAATAAGCGTGCATGTGTATATATATATACACATGTATGAAATTCACATGTAAATTATTTTTACATGTGGGTTTTTTGA